ACGAATTCAGCTTTGCAAAATATTTCCTCAGTGTTCCAGCGAACACCGGGAAGGCTCATCCCACTTTCCTTGTCGAACTGGATTTAGGCCAAATGACAGTGTCCCCCACATCCATATGTGAAACTAATTCTGTCTCGATAGCTTTCCTACTTCCCTATTTTTTTTTAATTTAAAATAAACTGTGCCTCATTGTAAGTTTAGTAATAAAATATAAATTGCCAAATAACTCAAATTGTCATTTTTCCTAGCAAAATGGGGTTCATAACAAATATAACTATTGTAAAATAAAGTTTATAGTACATAGGCAATTGCATTGGTAATCTTCCTATTCTGGTAACTGGATATTAAAATTCCGCTGTGTTTTGGAACTGCTTTGTTGCAAGCCAGTACATCATGTTGCCATACAAAAAGACATATTCAAGAACAGACAATTCAATGCCAATCAGAAAGATGAAAAGGTCTTGAGTACAATTTTCTGCACATCAATATTTGTACAGATTTTAAATTGAAGTTGCTTCCATGAGCATTCACTGCTTTGATGGTATATTCACAGTAAATCATTTTATGACAGCAAATTTTAAGCTTATAGACTTACACATATTTTACATGGCAGAGTACATTCACAGAGAATGGGGCTAGAGACATGCATGCATATTTGGCCATCCATTAGGCCAATGTATGCACACAGAATTATTATGGGATAGATTGCAACTTCAGGCATAACCCTAAGCAAGCTGCATTGCTCCAGGAGTCTTTGATTCAGAGAGACATCTTTGATTTACAATTCCTCTCTTTTTTCTTCCAGTGGTTCATAATTTACTCCTGGGCTTCAACAGCGCTGGATAGCGTGACCCTTGACTACCTAATTCTCCCTGTGCTGATCCTGGGAAAGTGAAAATAGCTGATTAGCCTTGCTTATTCTGAAGGCACGTCTAAACTACAGCATTATTATTTTTTAAATCACTTAATTTTGTTAAAGCAAGGTGAGCATTGTCCCAGCAAGCCCATTATTTTGAAATTAATTTGAAATAACAGGCTTCTTATTCTGGAATAATAAACCCTCATTTCTTGAGGAATAATGCCTATTTTGAAATTACTACAGGCAGTCCACGGGTTACGTACAAGATAGGGACTGTAGGTTTGTTCTTAAGTTGAATTTGTATGTAAGTCGGAACTGGTACATATTGTAGGGGAAACTCTAGCCAAACATTTCTCCAGAGCTCAGTTTTATTCTCCCACACCTCACTTCCCTCAGTCCTTTATTCTCAAGATGAGGTGTCTGCTGAGAAAATATATGGTTTTATGAGAAGCAATCCCATTCCAGGCACATCCCATTTTCCTGGAACAACCAAATTCTTACGCTGCTTTAAAGATGAAGCTGTATACAGACAGTCCCCGGGTTATGTACAAGATAGGGACTGTAGGTTTGTTCTTAAGTTGAATTTGTATGTAAGTCGGAACTGGTACATATTGTAGGGGAAACTCTAGCCAAACATTTTTTTTTAGTTTTGGATAGCATAGGGAAAGGTTAACTCCCCTCTAATGTTTGTTTTGCTGTCTGTTCCCCTGTTCAGAAGATTTCACATCTATTTCTGTCCCTGTGACAAACTCAGGACTAAAGGAGTAACTCATCAAATACCAAACAGCTCTGCACCATGCTTTGAGCTAATAGCTTTATTTCCACACACCACCCAGGGTTCTAGGAGGAGGGTCCTTTTTTTGCTAACACAATGAGGCCAGCACTTTGTTTGTTTTGGTGGAGTCTTTGTTTGCCCAGGGAGCCCAGCATGTATAGGGGGAGGAGGGGCGGAGGGGCTGCTTTTGTCTGTTCGGCAGCCTGTTGCTCAGGGGAGGGGGCAGCCTGTTGCTGGCAGGGGGAGGCACTTTTCCTCTGCCCGGCAGCTCTGCGGGACCCCAGTCGGAGCCGGCCCGAGGAGGAGGAGGATCCTAGGACCCAGGTGAGCGAGCCCGGGAATGCTGCTGTGCATGTGCGGGAGTTGCCTCACCCCGTTCGTATCTAGGGATCCGACGTAAGTCGGATCCATGTAAGTCGGGGACTGCCTGTATTTCAAAATAGCTCCTCCCAAGGGCCATTCAAAGTAATTACTCCCCAGTGCTTCCTGGCACTCTAAATCAAGGTAGCACATCCACATTAGGGGAGCCTACCTTGGACTAATTTCAAGGCTTCCCTGTAGTGTGGATGTGTTATTTCAAAATAGTTATTTCAGGAGTTATGATTCCAAAATAACTTATTTTGAAACACCCTTATAGTGTAGACATACCCTAACTGCTTGGTTCCAAAGTCTAGGTAGGGATAAAAGGGTACATCTCCTTCCTGCTGCTCTGCTGGGACTTCCCACTCACAGATGAATATGATGTTGAAATAGGAATATTTTGCAATATTACCAACAAATCATGATTTAATCTTGAATCTTATCATATTTGCTGTTTGCAAAATCCCTGTTCCCAGAGTCAAGTGATTTTAGGAAACAAGATTTCAGTCTTCGCCCATTTTGTTTCTTTTTGAAGTTTTTAGTCCTTATTTTGGAGAAAAGTGTGACACGCGAGCAGACCGCATCCTAAAAACTTAATAACCAGAAGGCAATAAAATATCCCTGTGTTAGTAGTAGTATATGATTATTTTAAATGCAATATCATGAATTTTGGGAAGGAGTTGATTCCTAAATTTTTTACATTGGCAGTGGACAATCCTAAAGTTGTAAAATTCAAATGCCACAGCTCATTGTTGGCAAAGAAGAGGTCAGGCAATGACAGTTCTGGGTCAACTTGTGGGGTTTTAAAATTTGTTTCTGTTGCACATTGGAATGAACACAGACCTTATGGACATTTTAGCCAAAATAGAATGGTGTCAAAATGTCTCTTTTTCAGATTAAAACATGAACAAAACAATGTTCAAATCCCTGCTCCATGCAGTATTTTTTTGCCCCAGATTACTCTGAATTAAGCAGAGCAGGGACTTGCACTGAACTCACAGATATCTCACACCTCTTCCCTAACCACCAAGCCATAGCAGGAGTGAGGATCTTTTTCTGAAACCAAAACAACCAAACAAAAAGGGGTTGAAATTTGCCCACAAAAGGTTTTGACATTTATTATTTCATTCTGGCCAGTTCTAGCCACAAGCACAACATGCTCAGAGTATCTGTGTGCTGCTGAGCATTGATTTCCTATTGAAAATCATCACTTTTCTCCATGATCTACCTATTTCAGCAAAACATTGTGTAGTACCTTTGCATCTCTTTTCACGCATCATGGTCCTCCCACAACAAAAACAGGTCATGTCTTGCTGGATTTCGCCAAAAAGTGAAATCTGGGGTGCCAAAACCGCTTAGAATACAATTCTCAACATTTTACACAGAAAAAATTTCCAAAGCATTCCCAATGTTTTTACAACCATTTTCCACACTGAATGTGATGTTCCATGGGTATTTTTGAAAGCTAGCAATATTTAACCCAGGCACTAATCCTGCTTTAATTTAAATCCAAGGTAGCAGGACTAGGTTTTTGCTCTGTAAACTCCCAGGTTTAATAGCTCAGGGAAATTATATGAAGTGTTTGAAAGTTCTTGACAGGGGGTATGTCTACACTACCCTCCTAGTTCGAACTAGGAGGGTAGTGTAGACATACCCAGAGAGAGGTAAAAATATGGTTCTGGCATTCTAAGCTGGTCTGTGTCTAAAAAATATTTACTCTAAACACCAAAGCTACATCTATCTTAATGTGTCATTACCACTTTTGTCAACATTGTAATACAGGTCTTCTCCATCTTACTAGACATAGGGTATGTCTACACTGCAAGCTTCTTTCGGAATAAGCTTTTTTAGAAGATATCTTCTGGAAAAGCGTATTTTGAAATAGAGCATCCACCCAACAGGGAAGCCTCAACTAATAGCCCCAGGAGGCACTGGGGAGGAATAACTTTAGAATGACACTGATGAGGAGCTATTTTGACATAGCAGCAGTGGAGCGTCTACACATACCCTCTTCCAAAAAAGCTTTTTAGGAAAAGGGCTTATTCATTGTGGAAAGAGGTTTATTGCCATCAGAAAAAGCATCCGTTATTTCGACTTTCTGTCAAAATAAAACAATTGCAATGTGAACACTAATATTGTTTTTCCAGAATAAAGGCCATTATTCAGGAAAAATAGTGCAGTGCAGACATACCCCATGTGAACAACCCCCATGTGACTTTTTTGGTCAATTACAACATATAAAAATGGTTGACATTTTGAATAGTATTCACAGTGAACAGTTAGTGATCAAATCACAGTGAAAAATAAAACAAAAAATCTTGGCAAAATAATGGCATTGAGTACATTTGAAAAATTAAGACATAAAAGAATCAGGCTCTGCTTGCAATCTTTCCAGAAGCAAAAAAGAGGTTAGATTTCCTATATAATTTTTAATGTTAATTATTTTTTCAGTTTTAGTTGCTACAGATAACAGATAAATATGCACTATGTCTTCTAAAGTTGTCACAGAGAATGAAGCAATAAGATGTAAAATAAAGACACAATAAGGTCTTAAATATTTAAGAGCATAGAGGATTTTTCACAGTGGTACAAAATATGGAGAAAGAGCACTTTCCAGTTCTGACAAATATAAACACATTGCTTTCCTTTGTCCCTTTATTAATGAAAAATGTCTAAGGAATTTATTATGGAGAAAAAGAAGTAGAACTGAGCTGTTTAAACACTTCTCTGACGGTTGCTTATCTTTCCTGTTCCCCACTGACTATATGCCCAGCTAATACCAAATATAAGTGCAAGATGAATTATCTAATAAATGAGAAAATTCAAGACAAAGGGCAGAAAAATAAGATGAACTCTGCCATCAGGACCACAGAAATCAATGGTTCTTTTTTCAGTAGTAAAAGCTTCAGAGAAGTTGCTTTAGTATTTAGATACCTTCTAGAGCAACTGTTTTTGAGGTTCCTTCTCAAGCATCCAA